TCCATTTCTTTTTTCTTTTTTTCCTTTATTTTTCCTTCTTTCTTTTCTTCTTTTTTTCCCTTTTTCTTTCTTTCTTTCTTTCTTTCTTTCTTTCTTTCTTTCTTTCTTTCCATTTATTTCGCCCAGTATTGATCATAACCACAGAATATTAATAATAGATCTTCCTATAAAACTCGATGAATAGATTACATGTCTCCCGGCAAAAAGCTTATCACCCTGTTCAACCCATTTACAAGGTTGTCACCTTCCTCCTTTTCTCACACTAATTACACTGCCCTCTGGTAGCAGTTGAACGATTCAACATGGACAAGGTCAGCGATGATCCAACGAAGTTCTTACAAGGGCAGCTTATGGCGACCTCAGATGCAGACCCAGTTTATCGAACAATGTCTCTGCTTTCGGGCAAAGTACGTTAAAGCACCATTTCCGGCTTAAACACAGAATTAAAACAACCTTGTTTCCTTGTTAATAACGGGTCGGTAATTTTTCCCGCCTTAACAGAGAAGTCATCCTTCTGAAGTAAAAGAAGGTATGGCTACAAATACCGAATCAACTCGGACAGGAATATCGCAAGATATCTTAACAAATATCACGTTTTAAATGATTACAGAAATAACTTACTGTGTTGTGATTAATTCGAACTTTTTCTCTCACCTTGGTTGTTATAGTCTCGACGCTTCGACGCTTGACGCTCCGGTCTTCATCAGTTGTTTTTCTTATTTGGTAACATTGTTAGTATTTCGAACAACATTATTTAATCCACATGGTAGAGTTTTCTCATTACGCTATATATGCGAGGATACTTCGTATTAATTTTGCTGTTGATTCACTGATTTTTTACACCAATGTTCACTCAATACAAGGTTCAAGAGCCAGTCAATTGTAGAGCGTTAATCTGAAGTGTTGTATGAGGGGAAGAAAAGGTAAGAAGTGGAGTTTATGTATGGTGTTATACAGAAAGATAATGATTAAGCCTAGACTTGAACAGGTTAAAATTGTAGTGATCGGGGAAACATTTTCTTGAGCCACTCGATGTAGAGGGTTACATAGCTTATGGGGATATGTGGGGAAGATAGCAATTAAGCTTAGACTTAAACAGATTAAGATTGTATTGATCAGGGAAACATTCTCATGAGCCACTCGAGGTAGAGGGTTGCAGAGTAAAAGGCACAGTTTATGGGGATATGTGGGGAAGATAGCAATTAAGCTTAGACTTGAACAGATTAAAATTGTAGTGATCGGGGAAACATTCTCTTGAGCCACTCGAGGTAGAGGGTTGCAGAGTAAAAGGGCACAGTTTATGGGGATATGTGGGGAAGATAGCAATTAAGCTCAGACTTGAACAGGTTAAGAATTTAGTAATCAGGGAAACATTCTCTTGAACCACTCAAGGTAGAAGGTTGCAGAGTAAAAGGGCACAGTTTATGGGGTTATGTGTGAAAGATAACGGTTAACCCTAGAAGTGATCATGTCAAGATTGTGGTGATTGGCAAAACACGCTGCTGTGAGTATTTTCCACAAAGCAGCGGTTCATGGGAAGAAGCTGTCTGAATGGAACTTCCTCCTTACCAATGGAATACGAAGGGAATAGCGATGATTCATATTTGCTTACGTGGCATTTCCGGTTCGAGGGCTGGTGGGTCTAAGGAATATAATTCGTCAGAACACGCATAGAAGTATCGATAGAGGAACAAGAGACTTGCGATGCTTCGTCTGTGGTTGTAGGGTTTAAAATAATTCATCACCCACAAGACTGCGTAAACACTTTTGAAGATTTTTGCTAATTCTTTCATAGGGTGCAGATTTTACCGGTTATATAAAGTACACTGTATCAATCAAGGATTGAACTCATGACTACTGCACATACTGTAACAGATAGCGAACCCTCGCACCCAATAAGATATTATTTCATGATGACAATCGGGTTGTCCCATGTTGGGCGTTGGTTTGAATTAAATAATTGTCTTGAAAAAAAAAAAAAGAATTTACAGTGAATAAGGATAGATTAAAATCTCTACTGGTTAAAGCGAAAAAGATAATTTTACTTATTTTTTTTTATAACAATACTAACAGTAGAGCCCGGCGTTGCCCGGGGATGTAACAGTAAGAGATAGATCAAGTATAGACCATCATAAAGACTGAAAAATAAAACTGACAAAGATTATTGTTTAAGGTTGACGTACACGTATGTCTTAATTATTTTTATTTTTTTACGAATTGGTCAAACCCAAACTCAAACAAAAACATTGTTTTCAATTGTTATGAGTCTACCGATTGAATAGAATTTTATTATAAACAATTGTCTTGTAAATGGAATTTTTAAAGCATTCTGAATGTAAAAATAAAGAAAAAGGTGTGCAAGACAATAAGAAACACTACCAAAAAAAAAAGTGAAGTTTTGTAGAAATCGGTTGAAAAATGTAGGAAATCCGATCCCATATAAATACAACACACACACACACACACACACACACACACACACACACACACACACAACATGGGTTTTATAATAAGTTTAACTCGATATGAGTTGTCCCCCTTTCATTCTCGCAACAGCGATGCCTCTTAATCGTGTTTTCAAATTGATTTCGTGCAAAAACAATTATGTTTTTTCCAATCCACCGCAAGGTAATTTTACGTAGTCCTGTGGAGTTTTGTTGAAATCGGTTGAAAAATGTAGGAAATCCGATCCAATATATAAACGAACAGACACACACACACACACACACAACCTGGGTTTTATAATAAGTATGATGTTCTGTGAGTGTTAAATTTATCTAGCAGTCTTTCCTCATATTATGTCAAAAACAAAGTGCAACGTATCAATAATCTCAATAGTTGCACTGCAGAAAAAAAAAACTTGTACTAGTAACCAAAACCATCAAAGTTAAAAAAAAAAAAAAAAGCCTGGGCAAAAGTAATTATCCTGTAGGCATTTCGATTTGACGGATATGTTTTCGTAATTTTTTTTTCATCGGATTGGTTTTGATGTTCCTAAAGAAAAAAATTAGATTTTTTTTATCTCTACTGGGAAAATCTATTGCCAAAGAAATCTAAAACAGCACTGATAAAAATTTTAGGACTAAGTAATTTTGTTATATTTTCTGCTTGAGTATCCTAAGATTTTTATCTATATTATAAAATGCATGTTAAGAAAGAATTCTGCTCTTTGACTCATTAAAAAGAAAACAATCGGAAGAAAACTAAGAAAGCTCGTGCCATTAAAAGTCACAACCTTATATAAATAATTTTCGTTATATTTTCTGCCTCAGTAATAGTGGATTTTATATTATAGTGCGTAATAGGAAACAGATTTCATTTAAAGCGAGTGAAAAATACAAGATAAATATATGAAAAGTTCAAACAAATCACAAAGGTCTTCGTATAAAAAGATTTGCATATATATATATATATATATATATATATATATTATTTACATATATATATTATTTACATATATATATATATATATATATATATATATATATATATATATATATATATATATATATATATTATTTACACTGCGTGGATAGACAGACACACAGAGAGACAGATACGAATGAAGAGGATATATACGCACTAAAATAGTCAGGCTGAGATAGTTATAAATAGTGTAAAGTAAAAAGAAGCAGACTGAGATACATACGAACAGACTATAACAGAGATACACAAATAGACAAAGATCGATAGATATGGAAACACCAATATATATATATATATATATATATATATATATATATATATATATATATATTTTTTTAATAAAAAACAGACCACGTTAAGATTCCATGTAATAAGCTATTTCACCATAACCCCTTTAACAGGGTTCTGGATCATCAGACTTTACTTCCCTCTGACACATGTCACAGTGGATAAAGGCGTTAGTTAGATCCAGTGACAGGACCCAAATGGCGTGAACTCTTTAAGGTAGTGGAGAACTTATAGAGGGGAATTAACAGGAGATAACTGATAACTGACATCCATTAAACATGGCACGTGGAACCAGTGAGCGAAATAAAGGGTTCAGTTCGACATTCCAACCACCTGAAGAAGGCCAGAGCGTACAACGGCCGAAACGTTGTAATAAATATGGCAACAAAGATGAGGACAATAGTCCGAATAATGTAAATAATGATTTCCATTAGTTTTGTGTATAAACTTGTGCATAGAGTACTTTTGACAAAGTTTAAATAAGCAATCATCTTGGGACCAGGAACGGGTTAATCCATTTTACGGTGATTCCTATTGGAAAAATAGTTTCAGTTAACGAACATTTCGGGTTACTGAACGGTCTTCAAGAACGATTTAAATTCGTGAATCGAGGTTCCACTCTAAACAAAAACTTATCCCCCAACTAACTAATTAGATTATTCTGTTCTTATGGTAATACGATACAGATTGTCATATTAGAGTCAGATAATTCTCTTGCTATAATAACAAGAGAATGACTCTAATGTGGGACATTGCATTATCACCGATCGGATCCTATGTTTTTTCAAGTCACGTTGAGGCTCCATGCTTTGAACATCTACTACGTGTCAATTTCACTCCAGATCTAAGGTGGAACTCATATGTACAATCCATTGCTAAAGATTGCAAGAAGATTATCACACCAGGAAGTCATTTGACTCCTTCTCCAATACTTTATCTTTACAAAAATCAGATTAAACCCGAAACGTGAGTATTGCGGCAATATCCAGACTAGAGCTGCTTTCTAGCCTTGATTGATTGTTTTTTTTTTTTTTACGGTTTATCAACACTTTGCAGGTTATTTAAAGCCAGAAAATATTTTAGACAGTCAGGATAATTTGGAGATAATAATGATTTACTGATACAAGTCCCGGTAATTAACCCATAACTGGGGGGAAGAGATGGATTCATACCTTTCCCAAGGTATTTGCGCGTAAATGAATATAACAAACCCAACGGGAATTAGAACTCGGCTCTCCGATTTCCAATTTCGTGGCGTTATTCATTACACCACCCGCACAACCAAGCTTACAGCACCTGGTATTACCAAGCGGTTACCCATCTAGGCATTGACCAGGCTCGACGTTGCTTAACTTCGGTGATCGTATGGGAACTCGATTCTCCGATTAACAATTCCGAGCCATTATCCATTACACCACCCGCACATCAAAGCTTACGGCACCTGGTGTTACCAAGCGGTTACCCATCTAGGTATTGACCAGGTTCGACGTTGCTTAACTTCGGTGATCGTACGAGAACTCGACTCTACGATTAACAATTCCAAGACATTAATCATTACACCACACGCACATCCAAGCTTACGGCACCTGGTGTTACCAAGCGGTTACCCATCTAGGTATTGACCAGACTCGACGTTGCTTAACGTCGGTGATCTTTCGAGAATAGGTGTTTCAACGTGATATGGTCGTAAATCTCCAGCTTTAATAGCGTTCAAAATGTTTTGCGGGAGAGGAATTATTTTCCACCTTTGGGTCCTCTTTCCCACAGAACCAACGTTGCAACACTGTCGCTATTCTATCGCTATTTCCATGGCAAATGTTTACGTGAATTTCATACTTTAGTTCTTCCATTTCATAGATAAAGATACAAAATGAATCTACAGAGGTTCATGATCACCTGAATGGACATTCTATTACAAAATCTTAGGAACAGTCAATATATGGCCGCCTATGTAGATTTAATTAAAAAAAATCCTGCTGTTAAAGTTATGGAGCGTAAGAATTTTGGTTGGCTGATTGTTTTTTTTTATGGCATATCAAAACCTCAGTGGGTCATTTAATGCCAAGAAAATTTTGAAATAGATTCATAGCGATAGTTTGGTAAAAAAGATGTGTATGTATACATATATATAAGCAAATATATGGATATAGATCCGACAGTATGAAGAAAAATATACAGAAAAAACAAACAAAAATCTTAATATGCAACTATGCTGTATTACTGTTAATATAAAGTCAACGTCGGACGTTTCGGTCTATTTTAGACCATCTTCAGGACATTTTCATTAAACATAATTAACATTAGAACATATGAAGATGGTCTAAAATAGACCGAAACGTCCGACGTTGACTTTATATTAACATTAATACAGCAAAGTTGCATATTAAGATTTTTGTTTTTTCTGTATATTTTTCTTCATATATATATATATATTTGAATTATTTTTGAATCACATATTTTTGAGTACATTTTTCCTTTAAAAATTATTGCTGGTAATAATTTTTTTTAAATTACAAAGTATTTCTGGTATTAAAACTTATTTTTACACAAGTTTGGGTGGAACTTAAGAAAAAAAGTGTTACCAACGTAATTGTTTATCGCAACTTGAAGACATTAGATAATGTTTTAAAAGTTGAAAAATGTAAGATCTCTTTAGTAAATCACTTGCAACATATTGATTATTATGAGCCTCTCCATTTTTGATAGTTCCAGGAAAATTATGGGGCCAGAATTATTACTGGGAAGGAAATATGGATGCTTTTTATGCCAATGATAAGCACAGTTGTCAGTGATTCACGATGATAAATTAGTGTTAAATAGGCGACCTTAATTCTAAAAAAAGATGTGGTTGAGTGTTTGACAGAACATGCGACAGATCAGCCATTAATACTGTACTACTGTACTGTACTGATGCGGCATTCACCCTGGGCGGATTGAGCCGGCTTCTTCCTGTTATGAGAAGAAGATTCTTGGGATAAATTACAGAAGTAGGGTACCCAGGCCTACTCGGATAACGTTCTTGCTTGTCGCGGGATTCCCACAGACGCAGAGACAGGAACGACCAGAAGCCGCCGGTTGCCGATGCAGACGCTCCTTGGATTTTCACCAGAGCCCTTGTTAGCCGGCGTGTGTGTCAGACCTGTCCGCCTTGGGTGGCCCTACCAGGAACGAAGTTCCGGGCGGCATAACTCTGACACTACCGTTTACACCCCCCACCGACTGTGAGGTAAGGGTTGGACTTTGGGGGCTTACAGTACCAGGTGTTCCCAAGCGGTCCCCCATCTAAGTACTGACCTGGCTCTACGCTGCTTAACTTCGGTGATCGTACGAGAACCGGTGTTTCAGCGTGATTTGACCGTAAGTGATTAATAACATTCAAACGATTGCCAATCATTGCTGTAGAACGTGTTCTTCGTGGTCAGGCGTACGAGCGAATCTCGGTCTTCCTCGATCCATGGTTTATGATACCACGGATCCTGTCTCAGCAACGTGACGATAAACAGCAGGAAAGTTTGGACGACTCGACTGCCTTCGGTCCGGAAACGCGATCCGATACAGCCGTGCAGCCTCGCGTCGATTACCATTCGCGCAGCCGTATGTACAAATCGTGTCTGGCTGCTCACGAAATGAATATCCTGCCACTGTGAAACAGAACACTTCTCAGTTGACTCACTTCCACACACGTTAAACGTTGAAGACAGACTAGAACTAATGTATACGAATGACAAATGTAACCTAGTCTACATGACAACATAGCGTCATCTACTGGAAATTAACTTTAAACTTAATAACATAAAAATGAAGGATTCGTAAAAATAAGTTTATATAGACTTTTATCCTTGTTTTGGTGCGAGGAAACCACCCCCAAAATTTGTAGAAGTATTTTGGATACACCGCATATATATATATATATATATATATATATATATATATATATATATATATAGCCGTCCACAGACAGACTGTTTTACTGTATTACACTCTCACCCTTAGGCCATGAGTGCACGCTACGAGGAAAGGAAATTTTAACGCATTATATACGAGATATAAAAATTACCGGCTACCAGAGGGCTCAATTCATAGCGAAGAGCTTTTAGCATTAATCAGCAGCAGTCGACAAATTCCCTTTCTTCCAAAGTGCTCAACCTACGAGTCTCAAAAATTCCCAAATAAATGTCTTCTGAAATGGTTATTAATGTTGCCTGTTTTACCCCTTCATGTCCTCGGCTAACTTCGATTGAATAAATACTAGGTTATATATATATATATATATATATATATATATAAAACATTAGGCAGCATATAATTTACATACAAAGAAATAATCACAATTATATATATATATATATATATATATATATATATATATATATACACGCCCCCACTCGTAGGTTGAGCACTTTAGACGAAAGGGAATTTGTCGGCTGTTACTGATTAATGCTAAAAGCTCTTTCTCTTTCTCTCTCTCTCTCTATCTCTCTCTCTCTCTCTCTCTCTGTATATATATATATATATATATATATATATATATATATATATATACTCAGATGGTCGATCCTTGTCGTGGTGGAGGGACTTGCATAGTCCAAAGACTCTAAACTCCTGGTAGGGCAACCATTAGCGGCAAGATCGAAGACGGGGACCCCGACTAAGCGCGTCCAGCCCCCAAACCGCCAAATATGGAACAAGCGGATGACGATAACAGATCTCAACGGTTGAACCAATGGATGAAGAGACTTACGCGGGACTGACATGCTATCGAAGGCGCCACTCGACATTAAGGTAAATCAGCGCCAGTCCGTTGCAGTTTCATAGCTAGATTCTGCATGTCTCATTTAATATATCCGTCGTTAGCTGGCACGTTGTGGCCCTGAAACAAATTCACGCCATTGGCGCTTTCTTCTGTTCTGATTTTCTTTCACCTTCAACTAATTCTTGCAAAGCCAAACAGCGATAGAGAATGCATTTTAGGAACAGATTTTGGTGAAATCTGAAAGCTTCATTTCTGAACCTGCATGTTTCCAGTGAATTTAATTATCATCAATTCTATCATCATAAAAGAAAAATCAGTAAAGAAATTAAATTCTTGGATCTGACATAAAGCCGCCTCCGCCGCCGATATATATATATATATATAATTAAAAAAAATATGATTCCATCGCTACATAAGAGTTCTCATGTTTCAAAAACAGGAGCTAAAAACTCCAAATCAATTATAGAATTAAATTGAAGTACCTAGTTCTGTTTCATCCTCAAGCGAATTTTGGAATAACTAATTGTTGTAGAGAAGTTTTCACAGTGGAGGTTTGTATTTCACTAAGTCGGTCTTAAAAGGATCCGACGTACAAAACGTTAGGAACTTGCAATAATAGTTAATGATGCAGCCATCTAGTTATGGGGCTCATACTTTAATGTCCGACATCGACTGACTCACACAACTCACTGAGCTCACTGGCGACTGCTACTACTACTACTTATTATCTGTGGGAGAGTATATTTACAATAGAATAGGTATGATCTAGTATAACATTAATTTTGAAATTTACGGAGCTTTATAAGCATATATATTCGTAATATTAATTTCTATGGATATGGAGAAAACTAATTTTAATAAGGGGCGGTAGGGTATTCTTTTTCACTGACAACTATTGTATAAACATATTAGTTACTTTACAAAAGAAAGTAAGCTCTTGTAGCGTGGAATAGCTATTCAAATGGGGGTAATTTTGAATTTCTACTCTACGTAATATATATATATATATATATATATATATATATATATATATAATTTATTTTAGGATATTAAAACAATCTACTCTGTATTGAAGACGTTTTAAATTAAATGTTAGTGACAGTGGAATTATACTTCATTCATTCTCATTTTACCTGAATGTGTATATATACATACATACATATATATATATATATATATATATATATATAATAAAAAGGCTTAAACACTAATATTCCATGGTCATAATTTATTCCATTGGAATCGTAAATACGATCCAAATCATCAGACCTACAAATTCAAAATGAAAACAGAAAAAAACAACTCCGGAAATCAAAACAGAATTTAGAGAAAGTGTAAGTATGAGGATGAGTGACAGAGAGAATTTTTGGAGATGTGGGTGGGGTGGATTTAAAAAGAGGAGAGAAAGAAAGTCGACGGATGTCTAATACATAAAGATACATTTCGTGGTGACATATACACACCACAGACAATTCGGATAGGAAGGGAAAAAAAAAAAAAAAAAAAAAAGGGGAAGGGTGGGGGAGAGGGATGGGACGAAGGAAAATAAAATTGTGTTTACTTAAAATTTAAAATCAAATATAAATATATGAAGATGAATATAACGATTGTCTCATTTCGCAATTCCTCTTGGAAAATTTTTTTTCTGAAAATATACATGTATGGGAATTTTTTAGATATATTTTTCATATGTATGTATATTTTCCACTAATATTATCTATATATATATATATATATATATATATATATATATATATGTGTGTGTGTGTGTGTGTGTGTGTGTGTGTGTATAGGGAATAATCCGTTGGTATATAATCCAAGTGAATCCTAATAACATAAAATATTAAAACTGATCCACAAGAAGAGATAAAAGTATTTATTATAACAGAGCATATATAAATAAATTATATAGAATAGAAATGCCAAATTACCCCATT